TCACAAAGGTCATTGTGGACAGACCAATCAAATTCAATTTAGGAGGTTAGAAAATGCAAGAGACAAATCCACAGAAGCGTAAGTGTCAGTTGCAGAAAGGTGTATATTCACAGATCATTATTGGAAATGAAATATTCCAGTATTTCACCTTTCGAATTAGTGTTAGTACTACCCCAGTGTTGGCTGTGACCGTTTAGGTTACCCATAAGAATACAGGGCTTCGGGAGTTGATCATAGATTGACTGAAGATCAGTCTGATGAAGCACTGATGAAGGCGGAATATACAGAGAGCATAACGTAAATGCTACACCCAGAGAACTTTACACTGCAACAGCTTGGAGATTAGTGTTAAGTGTACCGGGGTGTGAATAACATCCTGCCGTATAAAGATAGTAGAACCTCCAGTGGCCCTATCACCCAGAGGAAAAACATAATAATAGGCTTTAAACTGGCGTAAGTTAAAATTATCTGTCTGTTTAAGAAACGTTGCTTGCAGACAGAATGCTGCTGATGTTAAATCCTGGACTAATAGCTATATTAAATTAAAACTTGTTCGCAGTCCTCTACAGTTCCACTGCAAAATAGTTTTTAGAAAAACCTACGTTTTAGGTGGATGGATATATTAGCAATATACCTTTACCGGTATTCAGTGTTCTATGGGCAGAGACCGTAACAGGAACTCCAACAAAATAGCTGCTGGTCGTGACTGTATTCTGTTACACTCAGTTAAAAGGATCCTGAACGCAAGCGTGTGATGTTTTTACCTCACCTGCTATTCTGTTGATACTTTTAGAAATCGCAAAAGGATTAAGCTTCAATGGAGTCTTATCCTGAGACTCCATGATTAGAAATCGTGGCCAATAATCAACAGATTTGGAAAGTCGCTGTTCCTCATCATTATCGAGTGGACGTTTTCTTTGCTTTTATGGGGTTTGGTAATCCATGTTTAGTTTATATTTGTTCATCATCCGAGCTCCCCACCCACCATGGAGTAACATAAAGACAATCGCAAGTGTATTTTCGACCTGTAGCACCAAGGATACCCGGATGATATACTCAAGCAGAATAATCAAAAAGAAATTATTGTACAAGATTGACCCATGAGCCACTGCCTTCTGGACATAGGACCCTTGGCAAATTACTAAATTTGTAGTATCGAAATGTAAATAGATCATCATCAAGCCAAAAAAATGAAAACAATTTTAATAAGTTTCCCAAAATACGTTCGATTTTCAAGGAAAAGTTCCCTGAATAACCACTGGGTCGAGTTTGGGGGATAACAGCAATTAACCCTGCAGTGTCTTTCGATTGGTTGAAGTCTGCGGGCCTAAAATGTAACACTGCAGACTTTCTCTTTGCACTCGCAGCTGTCTACGTGACATATTCCAGTATGGCAGGAGTTCGATCCCCGATCGCGTCATACCAAAAGACGTTAAAATATGGTACTTGTTGGTCCCTGCCTGGCGCTTGGCATTAATGGGTACAAGGATTGGTCGGTTCGGAGTCAGTATAATGTGTCTGAGTGGGGTATTCATGCTTCACTGCGGCATGGTATCTCAGTGGGCTAGCACTATAAAATCAGCTTCAGTCTGGGCTAGTACAAGCAGCCGCACATACACATACACACGCATGCACGTCGTCATATGAGCGAAATATTCTCAAGCACGACGTTAAACCCAATTTCACCTCATCCCAGTATGGCAGGAAGGCGTTCGTTGTATGCATATGTACACAAACAAGTCCCCTATATCCCCGGTTGGATTTACAAGTTTAATCTGTTCTAAAAACATTTTGGCGGGCTCTGAAGTACCAGGACCCACTGTCCACTGATTAGAATCAGCCACATTGAGATATCTTGTCTTTGTTTGTAAATTTAGGTTTTTCTCCTTCAGTAATATATAAGTGAGAAACTAAATAGCAACATCTACAGTTCATCTAAACTTCCACTGTTGAACAGAGGAAAGAAACATCGATTATTTAAAAGACAAGGCTCACATAACACAATGTATATTTTAATAAATGATTTTATTATGTGAATACACATTTCGAAAGTCTTTAGATGTAACACATGAATAGGTGTAATCCAAAATATAACATAAATGTTAGATATTCATGATATGGAAACAGGCAATAAACTCTGTATGTCAGTCGAAAAGGGAGCAATAGCTTATACTGCATTTATACATAGCTTATATGCGCTAATATAATGTGAGTGAGTTTAGTTTTACGCCACACTCAGCAATATTCCAACTATATGGCGGTGGTAAGTAATCGAGTCTGGATCAGACAATCCAGTGATCAACATCATGAGCATCGAACTACGCAATTGGCAACCGATGACATGTGTCAACCTAGTCAGCGAGCCTGACAACCCGTTAGTTGCCTCCTCCGGCGAGCATGGGTGGCTGAAGATCAATTCTAACCCAAATCTTCACGGGTAGTGTTAATAATATGCATACTGACAATGAGTACATTAGTTCCAACTGACAGACGTATCTGCAATACTGTTACCATAAAGCAATGAGGAATAATGTATAATAATGTATTACTGCAGACCAAAGAAGCAAAGAATATAAATACGTAACCTATCGAACCAAATACATGTATACAAGCAAAGATTTTCAATCTAACAATTCGGGATACAGACAGCTGTTTTCAAACTTTGAATTAACCAACAGACAGAGTTTCTGCTTACAGCAAAAATCACTTCCGATAGGAAAGCCAACGAAGTAAAGCGAAATACGTTTTAATCACAAGGTACGTTTAGCAGGTTCGTCAACGATATAATATTCAAGGGTATATAATTGAATTAATTCACAAATATATACATCTCCGCACATTTATACATCATGAGCATCGATCTACGCAACTGGAATACTATGACATGCATCAACTAAATCAGTGAGCTTTACCACGCAATCAGTCGCCTCTTACGACAAGCATGGGCTTCTGAAGACCAATTCTAAAGCGGATCGTCACGTGTATCTTGTTGTAAGAGGCGACTATCGGGATATGGTGGTCAGGCTCGCTGACATGATTGATGCATGTCATCGTTTCCCAACCGCGTATATCGATGCAAGGTAAGGACAGAAAAAAGGAATAATTGCGTTTATCCCCATCATCGCTAACAGCAGAAAAAAACATGATATAAACTGCAAAGGGTATACGAATATCCAGAGAATGAGTGAATTGGGTTTTACGCCGCTTTTAGCAATATTCCAGCAATATCACGGCAGGGGAAATGGGCTTCACACAATGTGCCCATGTGGTGAATCGTAACTTCATCGTACCGCCTCAACCGCTAAGCTACCCTACCGCCCCAATATCCAGAGATAAAACAACACTGAGTTTAACAGACCCGCCCATGGTCTTTAATGTTATCGTGTTTCAAGGCAATGGCGTGGATACCGACAGTTGTGTTTAAAAATGAGTGAGTGAGTTTGGTTTTACGTCGCTTTTAGCAATATTCCTGCAATATCACTCACTCCTACAATCGCCAACAGCTGAAGGGATAGTGTAAATCCAGCTAGGGTCCATGCAGGTAGCAAAAAGTAATGTAAGTCCCCATGGTTCCTAGTATGGTGATCTACCTTCAGTCGTTGGCGATCTATAGCCAGTGTTTTATATTGTATTGTCTTATTTAATTAAAATGTCTTAGGTTTGCTTGCTGGTTTTATGTTCATATCTGTGATACTCTGGCATTTTTACTATTTATCGTCGACAGGTTTTACTTTTCAAAACGTTTCAATTTTTTATGGTATAAATTGTTTTCGTCACAATATGGCTGAGATATTGCCGATGTGACGTTTAATATTAACTCACTCGCTCCTGCAATATCAATGCGGGGAGACACCAGAAATGGGCTTCACACATGCCCGCGTGGGGAATCGATCCTGAGTCTTCAGCCTGACGAGCGAACGCTGTAACTACTAGTTTACCCACCGCCCCGACTAATAATGATAATGCTTGTATAGAGTATATGCTATGTCTATTATTTTAATTTCATTGTCAGAATTATGTCCGGTAGCTGTGGTGAAGGAGTAGTATCTTCATTAGGATAAACTAGATGAAGGGGGTCAAGAGTTTCGTTATTAAAACCTTGATACAGTTAGCGAGAGGTTAGAGTGTTCAATTCTTTGACCACAGACAAAGACAACTGACAAATAAGCCGTGAAGGAATATGTGAGTTAGTGTGATAAGCAGCGGCATAATAGGTATACCATGGCTGAGCCATTACTCTGACAAGACAAACAGCAAGACACATGATTAAAAGCGGCTGTGACCGTTAGACCCTTTGGTGTGAGAATAACTCTGACTAAACAGGGAGCAAAGGTCACTTATCCGTATGGGTCTCTTGGACGAAATACTTGTAAGGAAGGATAACAATATATGGATGAAGAACTTCTTTATTGCTGTGAGAGCGACGTTTCGGTGTAGGTTCTAACACCGTTATCAAGCCAGTGATGAACAGCATGGCTTCTAATCCCACTGTGGTGTTATTGTGTCTGGCTTCTAGCTCTTGTGTTGTTATTGTGTCTGGCTTCTAGCCCTTGTGTTGTTATTGTGTCTGGCTTCCTAATCCCCATTGTACTGTACAAACATCTGCTCAAACTTGTATATATGCTCCTTCATCCTTATGCTGTTCATCACTTGCTTGATAACGGTGTTAGAACCTACACCGAAACGTCGCTCTCACAGCAATAAAGAAGTTCTTCATCCATATATTCTCCTTCCTTATTGCCCCAACTTCTAAATGCCTCTCAAAGAAGAAATACTGGTACACGGGCTTTGGACCAACTGCAGTTCTTTGATTCTTACAATAAAAAGCTGCTGGACCAAGGCTAGGTAATCGTGTCAAATTCACTGATAACCTAAAACATGTGGTAAAAAATACTGTACGCCAGCGAGCCCGTTGGTCGCCTCTTACGACAAGCATGGATTGCTGAAGGCCAATGTTAAACTTCACGAGTATAAAAACTACCCAAAGGGACCACAAAACATACAAGTACGTACAATTTATAAAATGTTAAATATGATTGTAAATACGCAAGAAATATCTACATTGTACGAGGTAATCATGTAAAATTCAAAATAGTTTTATGTAGTTTGAAATAGAAATGATTCGTAGGTTGTATTCAACATATGAAATCAACTCTATGAATAAGGCTTTCATTGGAAAATATTAGAAATATCCTAACCAGGAGAATCTGTGGCGAGTCATACAATGATTTAGAGTACAAGATGTTTGTCGATTTTTCTAAACGTGCATGGAACATTGCTGATAAATCAGTCGTCAGAGACATATACCCAACGGGAGATTTCTTGCAGGTTACAGAATGGGGCGACAGTAGTATAACACGATGAGGATGGAGCTGAAGTGATGGTGAGTGGTGGGTGACACTGGGGTTGAGGGCTATAATATCCTGCCTGACGTGAGTTGTTTGCTACGAAAAGCGTCAGGTGAAATAAGCGAGCCTGCCGACCCATGGTGATATGTTGGTCATGTGGATTGTGTATTTGGTACATAGTCAGTCAGTTTGTTGTCGGTACTAACCGGACTTCATTAAAATGAAATATTTTACTTTTACTGACGCTATACCTCGTATGTGATAATTCGTAAATACCTCAGGAGGTTGCCTTGAGTAAATTTATAGTCAGCCAGACATGTAACTATTCCTCACTTCAAGCATACCTGATTTGTGCGTCTCAAATTTTTTAATAATAATCGGGAAGATCCGAATGAGCAACGAATAAAGTAGCACAATATTGTGTTACGGACATTTTACACATCCTCCAATTAACTATGGTCCATCTGTTTCGTGCACCTCAGTTGAGGATGATGTATGTCTGTTCTACGATAAAAACTGGCATACGAGGACATTTGTATCTAGCTTGTTTTCTGGGGAAGTCCAGGGAAGAAGTAAAAGTGCTTCGTAAGAACAGAACTATAAGTAGAAACTTGCTTGTACTTTTTGTTCTTGGTCACTCTACGACACACGAGGTCATTAACCTGTAAGACAAAAAGAATGAGTACACCAGGTTTTCTTGCCGCTGCCAGGAATATTCCAGCGACAGAGCGAAGGGATATAGCAGGCTTTACACATTGTATCCATGAGGGGAATTGAACACCTTTCTTTAGCACTAAGGGGGAGCGCTTTAACCACTAGGCTATCTCACCGACCATGTATAGGAAGGATGAAACATGGGAACTGTCTTGTTAAACTTTCACCTACAGTTTTGTTGCTTGTTATAAACATAATTTTCTTTTCACAAACATGGTTGAATATTGAGAACATGTTATTGAATCTGACATATGGGTGTCTTCACGAATGTGCGTCATACTTCATAACAAAAATCGTCCGTGGTATGGTGACCTACCTTCGGTGGCTGGCGATCTATAGCCCACTGTTATGTTGTAATGTCCTACATAGTATCTAATTTTAAGTTACATGCTAGTTTTAAGTCTCTTACTGTGATATACTAGTTGTTTTACTGTCCTTTGGTGACCGATTTTTATAAAATAAAATTCTAAAGTATTAAATGTTCTTGTCACGATATGGCTGAAATATTGCCAAAGTGACTTGAAATTTTAACTCACTCACTCATAACAAAAATCGAGTTGACGTAGGGCAGTGACTGCAGTAACTTCAGAACAAGACTTTCGTTAAAATGATTACAAAATGTACGTTGCATATATCACTCATTCTCAATAACGGGGTGCAAATTCTGTCGCCACCATGCTTCTCCTAAACTTCATTAGCAAATGTTAGTATCAGTATGGTTGGATAATGGTACCACCCTGGCCAACATACATCATGCATAAACAGCCCAATAACCCAAACTGTATATTTGCTAGAGCTACGATAAAATTTCAATTTGAAATGTTCGTTACTGTTGCCGGTGACAACACATTACTTTGCAGTTAAACTTGGATACCTGGATATTAAGACTTTGATATTGGTCAAAAGTTTTTTTTACTGCAAATTCTTAAGCCAAAGCATTCTTTTTAGACAAATGAATGTTTTAATGCCATGGCACCAGTTTTGAGGAAATATCCGTGACTAATTTTCAGCTTGACATGTACATGTGCAGAACAAGCATAATCGAACCCATTTTCTTTGAATGAATACAATTTATGTTTACATTAACGGTATTAGTCATTATTTGGGGCTCAGAATATCTCTCTGCATAGTGTATCTCAATACATAGAAATTATTCCATGCGTAGAAATAGGAGTGAAATGTTTGTTACCACCGCCATACTGGGGAATTGTGTTCTTTTTTCACACAGTTTAAGTTACATTTAGAACACAAAGTACGCCAGATGGGAAAAGAAAAATATATTCAAAGCTTGTGTGTGGTTAATGGTAACTTACTGCTTGATTTGCCAGAATGTGGAATCTCGGTTAATAAAATGTTCTTCACCAGGATATTTGAACTATATTGCTTGTGAGGTGAGGTGAAATTGGGTTTAACGTCGTGCTTGAGAATATTTCGCTCATATGACGACGTGCATGCGTGTGTATGTGTATGTGCGGCTGCTTGTACTAGCCCAGACTGAAGCTGGTTTTATAGTGCTAGCTCACTGAAATACCATGCCGCAGTGAAGCTTGAATACCCCACTCAGACACATTATACTCACTCCGAGCCGACCAGTCCTTGTTGTACCCATTAATGCCGAGCGCCAGACAGGGACCAACAAGTACCATATTTTAACGTTATTGCTTGTGAAGTTCTGATACTATTTTTCAAACATCACGTGACTTAAATCTTATATGATTGTTTTCAGTGTCAATATCTTGAAATCTGCCCAGTTTAAGTCTATTTGAGGACAAGACAGTGTTTCTGAACACATGGCGTTGCCTGAAATGTTCGTTACTTATATAGTGGTTTATATCTAGTGGTTGGAAAACTATAAAACCATATTTCCTCCTAAAATAGATGACACATATGGTTTGTGATTGAACTTTCAGAGGATTTGAAAGTATTTGTCACTTCAAGGCATTTTGTTTCATGTGTATCCTGTGTTCCCAAAGTTTGCTTTCACACAGTTTGGTCAATGTTTGTAAGTTCAGTATGTTTTATCCCGCACTGTACTTGCTGGGGATTAGGTAGTCTACCTAGCAAGAACACAGTTACAATGTTAAGGAAACATGTACTCCCAGGCTTGGTGATAAGGGCCATGACTGCTTTCCAGGTGTGTGTTTTAACCGGTTAAGGTGGCTATCCTTAGCTTTGTTACAACGAACATTGCAGTGTTAGGATTTTCTTGTTAGCTTCTTATATTTTCAAAAGTGTTCAATTCTTGTTGAATTCCCGTAGGTTTTAAGCAGCCCAATATGTTACCTTGGCAAAATAAATGATTTCACTCAAATACAACGTGATTAATTATTCAATATTTTTGTGAACTATTTGCATCCCGTTATTGAGAGAGAGCGATATACTTTTTCATGCAAAATCACATATTGACTCTTGGGGATGGGATATGACTTGTCCAGTTAAGCAAAGGGAAGACGTTCCGTTTCACTTTTCAGGATAGAGGACTTCATCGGAGAGAATGACTTTGCAGGTCTACACTTCATCTGAACACACTGCACATAAATTCAAAACAGAAATTGTATGTGTGCCAACTTGATTTGTCACTTCGCTTGGTCGGCATGATGTGTGAAGCCGCGTATCTCGTGTCCCCAGCCAAAACCGGCCAACAGTCATGATCACTCCTCTTCACAGCGTGAAACCTGGATTGACGGGACATGGGAAATCATACATACCTTGGTCATCATTGACGCTAGATCTTCTTTGTGAGCAAACTTCATAAAGACGTAAACAATAGCCTGTATAAACCATGAGCCGTTTACTGTGTTTCGAACTGACATATAATCTGCAAATAAACAGAAATATGTTGCAAATAATAGTATTTACTCAAAAGGACACGACGGTGCATTCGACTGACAACGTGTATATCACCTGGCGTCGTAGCTTCTGCTATCATGATGTCAGCCCTGGGTGGATGTTCAGCAGCTGAACTGGTCGTAGCGACAAGGTTTTGTTTTTCTGTCTGTGGTTCCTTGTGTATTCTGATGCTTTCAAGTTCTTGTGTTACCTCAGAAACAGTGGGATCTGGTGCACTTTCTGCGCCCGTGTCTTTCTTTTCTGCAAAATTGAAAACGATTGTGTCCTGTAACAAAACTTCGTTTTGTCTTAATTTAAGGGGCGAATTAGTAGCCCAGGGGTTCAAGCGTTCGCTCAACACGCCGAAGACCCGGGTTCGATTCCCCACATTGGTACAGTGTGTGAAGACCATGTTTGGTGTGCCCCGCCGTGATATTATTGGAATATTACTAAAAGTGGCATAAAACTAAACTCATTCACTAAATACTTAATTTTGATATTTTTAAAAAGAAATATTGCCCTGAGTTTTAACCCAAATACATCTATTACTTCGCCCGTTGTGTGTCCTGAAAGATTGTGTTGTGTCTGAAAAGAAATTACCGTCGATGCACAAGTCAAGGTTAAGACTGCAAAATTTGTCTTACGTGCCTATATTCTGAATGCAAGATTTACTTTATGCGATTCTTTTTCATGAAGGGTTCGCCGAATGAGCCTTTAATTGTGCAAGATTCCATTTGCGACGAAAGTCTTTACTTGCAGCTTCGTCAGAGTATCCCCTGATTAGACCGACAATGTAAGTGAATATTTTTGATAAGTTATGTTTAGCGGCTACCAGCTAAACCTCAAAATAAAATGATGCGGAATTCCGGAGAGTGGAAGGTCGCGGGTTCGATCCCCGGTCGCGCTATACCAAAAGAAGTTAAAATATGGTACTTGTTGTTCTCTGACTGGTCGGCTCGGAGTCGGTATAATGTGTCTGAGTGGGATATTCATGCTTCACTGCGGCATGGTATCTCGGTGGGCTAGCACTATAAAACCAGCTTAAGTCTGGGCTAGGACAGGCAGCCACACATACACACGCATGCATGTCGTCATATGAGCGAAATATTCTTAAATTACCACCCATTTCACCTCACCTTCCATAGTTCATTAACAGGGGTGAATAAAAGATGGACATGTAATTCGGCTCTAAATCAAATTTCACTGTCGAAACCGTTGTGCACTGTGACGTTCCTGTCAACAGATTGTTTTAAGTAATTAAGATATCAGTCAGACCAATGATAAGTAGGCACCTCTCTACTTACGTCCCTGACAGGCCTGTATGAAGAAAAGTTTCGGCTTCCCAACAAGTGTTTGACAGTTCTGACCATTAAACATATCAGTGATTTCCTGTATGTTGGCAACCTCGCCGTCAACCCCATACACGCCTCCTCCAGTCCCATGGGACAAGATGACACACGCGAAACAGTCATAGCCGTCATGATCGAGTTGTCTCTCTTCATCCAGCACTTCTATGATTTTCTGAAAAGGCATTAAGAGTCAAAAGGTTAGTTTTAAGGTCATTTAGCTCACCTGGTCATATGTTACCATATGCATTTTATCAGAATCAGTATTGGGGAATTTTTGTGAGTAATAACACAAATTGGATAGTTTTAATGGTGGAGAGGACAGGTGTCGTTAGATTTGAACGGGAAGACTATCACAGTTGGATAAGATGCTGATATTGTTCCTTTGTCCGGGTATTGATAGGCCGTGCAGTTACAATGGTTATTGACATACTTGTGAATGGAGAGTGTATGTAGCTTGAAAATACTATTCTATACAGGAGGGTGATATGCCGTTAAGTTATATAGTGATAACATAAATGCATAATGCATATTCATAATGCGCCTATTCCACACCCTTGCTCAAAGCAATACAGAATATTTACACTGGAATATTTACAGTTGATATTATAAGTAATATGCTGAAATAAGGTGGGTTTTAAGTCTATCATTGACATGCAAGAGTTATCAATATTAATCCTTCATAAAGAAAATCTGACATAACATTGGTATGCTGAAAAATTGGAAGAAATTACTTTAATAATGTAATTTTAATATGGCGGCAATGTTTTAAAATCGAATCGGAACTCTATGGGCTTTTTGTGTTTTTGTTTGTGATTCTGTGATATATACTCCCCATCAAAAGTTTAGACTCACTAGTGTAAATGTAGCCACTCACTTCAGTCAACTGTTCTAAATTTTGCAAAATATTCCATACTGTTTAAAGGTACTGTGCACACATGAACTGATGTATTGTAAAACAAATTAGTAACGTTGAAAAGATTATTGTCATGACTTCAATAAATGATGAAACTCAGTGAAAATTGGCGAATTCTTAACAAAACTTTACACCAAAACGCAGCTGGTCACATGCACGATATGTGCACATGCTTTTCAGCAATTTGATGCATGATCCTCGTGCAATTCATGTGCATAAGGTTTGCAGTCGGTTCCCCCAAGTTAGTGGAGAAATTCATTTTCGATGTAACTACATATATACATAACTTATAGTGAGTGCTTTAAGTGAGTCTAAACTTTTGATGGGTAGTATATGTGTACGGGTACTGGGAATGATATGGAAAATGTACTTGTTAACGGAGTTATTCATAATTTTGGGTTGCATCTGTCATATGGGTTCATAAAGTAATATCGAGATGTGTAATATGGGTTCATTAAGTAATATCGAGATGAGTTTTGTTTTCATGATTGATGTTTTAAAAATTAATTATTAAACTACATCATCAAAATGTGCATTCTATTTACCTCACGTGTCAGATCTTTCTTGACGACTTTATCCAACGATAGGTCATCAAAAAGAAGACATAGCGAAGTAGCATCCTCATCAGTCCCTGTTCTGTCTTCCAGGTCTAACTTTTTCTCTCTTGCAGCGGAAAAGTTTTTGTTATTAATTATCAAGACTCTCCCTCTTGGGCATTTCTCCATGCGGTAGATCTGTCAGTAGAGATTAGCATATATTCAGTGTTCGAAATACTTGCCTGCCCGACCGCCCGGGACGGGTTATTTTCAACACGGACTGCCAGATTCTCAAATTCACCTGCCCGACGGTCGAGTTAAAATTTAGACATGTATATATGAAGATATTTTGTGGGCAGGTAAGTTTTGGTCAGGGCTGGCAAGTTTTACATCTAGCAAGCCCTGTGGTCTGGCTGAAATTTCCGGGAGTTGCATACCATGTATCATATATTCAGTAATGATGTCCTAACACATATAATTCCTGTTTGATTCAGTTATTGTTTCCTTAATTCTCAGTAATTATTTCATAATTCGTGAGTTTACCAAGAGGTCAAGCTCAGTGTTAAATCTCAACTCATTCACAAGTTTTTGGTTTACCTTCTTTGACAAACCTACAAACTCAAAAGAAAACAACTGAGGTTGAAAATCCCTTTTCTTGTCCTCTTTACCTATTTGTTGTACGAATGGTGTGGTTTGGTTGTTGATTAACGGTGCACTCAGCAATATTCCAGCTGTATGGCGGTGGTCTGTAAATAATGGAGTCTGGGCCAGACAGCCAGTGATCAACAGCATGAACATCCATCTACGCATTTGGGACACCATGACAAGTGTCAACCAAGTCAGCGAGTCTGACCACCCGACCCCGTCAGTCGCCTAATACGACAGGCATGGGTTACAGAAGATCAATTCTAACTCGGATCGTCAGGGTTTTTTGGTTGTAAGAGACGACTGTCGGGATCTGAAGGTCAGGCACGCTGATATGGCTGATGCATGTCGTCGTTTCCCACCTGCGTAGATCGATGCTCATGACGCCAATCACTGGATTGGTCCAGATTTGATTATTTACAGATCTTCGTCATATAGCTGAAAAACTAGTGAGTGCGGCCTTATTGACAACAACGAAACAAACATCATACGTCATGATGTAAATGTTTGGAGATCAATTCAAATATATACCATTGAACTTGATTTTGACTCTTCAAACCATTGTCGCATTTGAATATTGTCTTCGGCAACCATCTCAACCTTTACTTCGTTTGTACTGTAGTCTACAGGCGGCCAAGCTGAAACAAATACAATAACTTGTAGGGTTAGTGAGTCAGTTGGGTTTAACGCTGCTTTGAGTGAGGGAGTCAGAATAGTTTTACGCCACTTTTGGCAATATTCCAGCAATATCACGGGAACACCAGAAATGGGCTTCACACATTGTATCCATGTGGGGAAGCGAACCCCTGTCTTGGGCATGACGAGCAACTGAGGCTACCCCACCGCCCAACGCTGCTTTGAACAGTATCCTCGGTGTGAAAAACGACCGAAGTGGAGTAGACCATTAAGATTTGGATGGCGATAAACCGAGAAACATAATCGAAACTAATCTGGATTCGAACCTACAAATATATAAGGGATACTTGCAGGCCCAAGGGACGCTAACATTAGATATACCACTGGAGCATGTCTCTATCGCTAACATTAGATATACCACTGGAGCATGTCTCTATCGCTAACATTAGATATACCACTGGAGCATGTCTCTATCGCTAACATTAGATATACCTCTGGAGCACGTCTCTATCGCTGACATTAGATATACCACTGGAGCATGTCTCTATCGCTAACATTAGATATACCTCTGGAGCATGTCTCTATCACTAACATTCGATATACCACTGCAGCATGTCTCTATAGCTAACATTAGATATACCACTGGAGCATGTTTCTATCGCTAACATTAGATATACCACTGGAGCATGTTTCTATCGCTGACATTAAGATATACCACTGGAGCATGTTTCTATCGCTAACATTAGATATACCACTGGAGCATGTCTCTATCGCTGACATTTGATATACCTCTGGAGCACGTCTCTATCGCTGACATAAGATATACCACTGGAGCATGTTTCTATCGCTAACATTAGATATACCACTGGAGCATGTCTCTATCGCTTACATTAGATATACCACTGGAGCATGTTTCTATCGCTAACATTAGATATACCACTGGAGCATGTTTCTATCGCTAACATTAGATATACCACTGGAGCATGTTTCTATCGCTAACATTAGATATACCAATGGAACATGTTTCTATCGCTAACATTAGATATACCACTGGAGCATGTTTCTATCGCTGACATTTGATATACCTCTGGAGCACGTCTCTATCGCTGACATTAGATATACCACTGGAGCATGTCTCTATCGCTAACATTAGATATACCTCTGGAGCATGTCTCTATCACTAACATTCGATATACCACTGCAGCATGTCTCTATAGCTAACAGTAGATATACCACTGGAGCATGTTTCTATCGCTAACATTAGATATACCACTGGAGCATGTTTCTATCGCTGACATAAGATATACCACTGGAGCATGTTTCTATCGCTAACATTAGATATACCACTGGAGCATGTCTCTATCGCTGACATTTGATATACCTCTGGAGCACGTCTCTATCGCTTATATTAGATATACCACAGGTGGATAAAAATACACATTTATACAGTATGTAGTTAAGCATATTAAACATATAATATGGCACTGGCTGTTTATACCTACATTCAGGGAGGTCATCTGTCGGTTGCTGAGGCTGTGGTGCTGGAGGCTTCAGGATATCAGCTGCAACCTGCTCGCCACATTTTATCAGGGCAGTGTGGAAATGGTCAAAAGCTCCATCACCTCTACGTGGCAATAAATCAAGCAAAGCCCATTTCTTGTCCCTTGGTGTGTGGTGCTTCCCTTCCTACTCAACAGAAACGAAGTTATGTTATGTATGAGTACATATTTAAACCATATGACTTGTCTGGTGAGAGTAAGTTGTGTTCGAAATTGCATTTTTGTACTAAGAATATCTTAGCGGCATGGATGAAGCCAGCTATATACACTTCATGTATACACTACCAATGTAGAATTTTTACGCAATATTAAGATTTTTATACATAATTCGATGATGACATCATAAAAATACAAACTAAAATATCCTCCTTCATGTGAGCTGTTATGGTCTCCATACTGAAAAGTTCATTGACAACGGCAGCTATGTTAGCTATATTGTCCACGAGGCCGCCACGGTTTCTTATAAGAATATCCTTGTGTGTGTTGGTCATCGCCTGAAAGAATGATTCATCACTTGATATAAACAACCCACGTTAAATAGAGCAAAGTATGGTAGTCAACTCAATATTTGCCAAAAATATTTATTTGCCTACTCAACACTATCCCAGATAACCACGGCGAAAAGAAACATAATTATATTATATGAAAGAGTGAGTGAGTGTAGTTTTACACGGCCTTTAGCAATATTCCAGCAATATCACGGCTGAGTACACCAGAAATGGGTTTCACTCTTTCTACCCATGTGGGGAATCGAACCCGGGCCTTTGGCGTGACGAGCGAACGCTTTAACCACTAGGCTACCCCACCGCCCTAATCTTCAAGGAGTCGGAAGCTGAATACAGCGTCAAATCTCAGTACATGAGCAAGACTCTCAAATACCGCCTGCCATGTACGTTGTGATTTTGACAAACACAGCTTCGTCCCCTTCACATGGAGTAATGATGCTTCACATTACGCAGACGCACACACACACATTCCGACAACAATTTCACTGAAATACGAAAGGAGGTAAATGTACGTGCAGTCTGTTCATATTTTCCTCGGAAAGAATGTAACAGTCACCGAGACTTCTCGCTCGCTCGGACCGCCTCCTTGGTGTAGTGGTTAGAGCGTCCGCCCGGAGAGCGGAAAGTCGCGGGTTCGATCCCCGACCGTGTCATACCAAAAGACGTTAAAATATGGTACTTGTTGGTCCCTGCCTGGCGCTCGGCATTAATTGGTACAAGGACTGGTCGACTCGGAGTGAGTATAATGTGTCTGAGTGGGGTATTCATGCTTCACTGGGGCATGGTATCTCAGTGAGCTACACCTATAGAACCAGCTTAAGTCTGGGCTAGTACAAGCAGCCCCACATACACACGCATGCACATCGTCATATGAGCGAAATATTCTCAAGCACGACGTTAAACCCAATTTCACCTCACCTCACCTCTCGCTCGCACGATAACGTATTCTACCACTGTGTGTTACATTCATATCTCGTTTTATTGTTGTGCAGTCCATTTTCAGTGTTACCCACCTGACCGTCCCGAACAAATGTGTCCCGGCTTTAAGTCTTTATCTATTGTCTGGCCCTGTACAGTTAAAACCGACCGAATACTCAAATGCACTGTTCACATGTACACTAATATCTTCTCACCCATGGTTGCCTGTTACAAGATGCCACAACTCAATCCCCAAAAACAGATATACATCGATGATGATACATCATCGTCATGAGACACGTTCATAATAACTGTAGCGCTCGTGGGTCGTCAGTATTAACTATCAAGGCTACTTTCTCTTTACCTTCAAAGCAAATCGTTAACCTAGCAAGTTGTCCCTAGTTAAAGCAGTCCTACCATGATGTATATCTTCCTCAGCAGTCGCCCAGATCAGTTGTTGATTGTTACGTAATTATTGTAAACTTGAGTTCAGGAAATCCGTCTATAAACAGTATATAAATCCTGGTCATGCAAGACCAAACACCTGAAGGGGGCGGAAGAAAGATCAGACCGGACCGCTCCAGCAAAGTCCCAACAAAAGATTTACTGAAAATAACAACGAAACATCGAAGCATTCGCTAACGTGTTTCAATAGTGAGAATATACACAACGATTTCAATAGGTGTTGTAACTGGGGCTGTTGGGAATGAGGTTAACGTGCACAGTGGTTTGCCCATTCATATTTTCCTCGGAAGTAGTTTAACACTCTCCGGGAAACCAGAAGACTTCGAAAACTGACATGAACATGACACGAAAATGATTCAGTTACTACAGGCAAAATAATTAGGAATACGAATTCATCCCAACGGAAATAATACTCGTTATTACGAAAAAAAGAAGCGTTACAACGAAATGAGATGCGTTATATAACGAAAAGATATGCGTTATAACGAAAGGGGATGCGTTATAACCAAAATACATTCAAACAGAGGGGTTATTTAGTACACGGATTTGTTTGGGTTTCGTTTGGTTGTAATACACTTCTTTCGTTAGACTTTCGGGGTTACGCATCGTTTGTTTATAATAACGAAGTTTTAACGTTATGATAAGTCTATTTTGTTTCAACACATTTGTTTTCATTACAACAAATATATTTTGGTGGAAATGCATCTTTTGTTCGTGATATTGAAACCTTTCCCGGTATTATGAGTATATTTTCGATATCTTGTTTTATGTATTTGAAATATTTTCCCTTTAATAATGGAACTTTTTTAACATGTTTTATATATTTTAGTTGTGATGACAGTAACCTTTCGTAGACGCTCATGATTTCAGCCACTTGATTGTCTGGTCCAGGCGAGGTTATTAACAGACCGCCTTCACAATAGCAGGGATGTTGCTGCGTGTGCCGTTTAACAGCAAACAAACAAACAAACGTACAAGTTCGTGATCAAATTGTGAAAATATCCATCCCTAGTCCGTCACGGACACCGGGTACTAAAGGGGCGTCTTAGCAGCCCGGGGCCGAGGGCTGATCTCGTGTCTGCTCCAGACAACTTGAGCTAGGTTTGAAGTCGCAATATACAACATAGATATATCAAAGTGCAGACTAGTTTAGAAACAGGAAAAGCTTTGTATTATATATCAATATGAACGATCATGGGACAGGGGTTATTGAAGAAGCACCGGGAGTTGGTGTATGGACGGTGTTGGTTGAGTGGTGGTCTGAGTTGAAGGCTTTGTACGGGTGAATGGATGGGTGTGTCAGTATATTAAGCAATGTAATGCTTTGGGTTATGTTGATATGACAATTTAGCACATGAGCCTTTAATGTGTATCTGTTTATGTTTAAACCTGTGTCCCATAGGCCATGTTGACTGGTCGGTGTACAAACATTGTATTCTCTATTGTATTTTTATAATTGTGCACTGTGAGACACGTAAAAAACAAATTTTCGTTTCTCCTTCTTCTTACCAGAGACCATATACCGGTATATGGTCTCTGTTCTTACCTAATTCTCCTATGGACTCGTCATCTAACCAGATCTCCCATATGTGAGGAGTCATAAACTCGTCACCTAACAAGTTCCCCCATCTAAGCGTGACACGGATTCGTCACTTAACCAGATCTCCCATATGTGAGGAGGAATAAAACTCGTCACCTAACCAGTTCCCCCATCTAAGCCGTAACACGGACTCGTCACCTAACAAGATCTTCCGTATGTGAGGAGGCATAAATTCACCTAACACGTTTCCTCATCTAAGCCGTGACACGGACTCGTCACCTAACCAGATCTCCCGTATATGAGCAGGCATAAACTCGTCACCAAACAAGTTCCCCCGTCTAATCCATGACACGGACTCGTCATCTAATCAGATATCCTGTATGTGAAAAGGCATAAACTCGTCACCTAACCAGATATCCATTATGTGAGGAGGCATAAACTCGTCACCTAACATGTTCCCCCATCTAAGCCGTGACACGGACTCGTCACTTAACCAGATCTCCCATATGTGAGGAGGCATAAAGTCGTCACCTGACCAGTTTCCCCATCTAAGCGTGACACGGACTCGTCACTTAACCAGATATCCCGTATGTGAGGAGACATAAACTCGTCACCAAACAAGTTCCCCAGTCTAATCCATGACACGGACTCGTCACCTAACCAGTTCTTCAATCTTTTAAGTGACACAAACGCGTCACCTAACCAGTTCTGTTAAGTAGCAAGTTCTTCACATGTTCAGTGGTGCAGCGTAGGACAGTCTCCAGCGACAGCGTGCTATTGCTCACCGTACTACCTTGTACAGTTGTTTCGCATATGTCTTGTTAAACAAGTACGTGTGAGAAGGGTGCAGCTCAGATGAATATTCACAGATTCGTGAACAAACTTCGACGTGACGTAAAAATACATTTGATTTTGCAATTGTGTTATTTTTCATTGTTGTCAATTCAGAATACTACATCAGCAGTCCACAATAACTATACTAGCCACATAAAGAAACTGTGCACACAGAAATGCCTTCATAATTGGAATACAACACAGCAAAGACGAAATGATGTAGACACTTTATAAGCTGAAGTATCGGACCACAAGAAAATGTCAAAAGAACATGAACAATATCCGTAACGATGACGTCAGAAGTTCAAAATCGTGTAGGGGGGGTCACACGACGAACTCACAAAGTCAATAACGGGTATGACCACCGTGTGCGTGAAGCACAGCAGTGCATCGACAACGCATAGGGGCTAGCAAATGAGCATTGAAGTTCTGGGGAATGGTCTGGGACTTGGTCACTGCTGTCTGGGACCTGTATCTGAGATGAGTCACCCGAATCCACCTGTCCTGTCTTGGCGTCGTTACGTCGGGAACGCCCAGAACGTGGGTGGTCGGCGACGTCATTACTGTTTCGATAACGCCTGACCCATGCAGATATCGTGTTACGATGGCATTGGAAATGTGCTACCACCTGTTGTTGGCTCATTCCTGCTCGAACCATTCCAACGGCTTCATGACGTTGAGCAGATGTTAATCTTGGCATGATGTGCATGTGACTTCTCATGTGGATTTGTGAACGTTTGAATGACCAACGATCAAGCTTTCGACAGTGACAGCAATTTCAGAGTTTCACATGTTGTGTGCAGCTGTACGGGCTGCACGTGCAGTAACACATTGCAAAGCCATAGGCCACCGTCAATGACGTCACGTCGCCTGGCACGTGCATGAGCGTTTGATTGTCTCCAAAACTTGCTATGTTCACAAATGTATTTATGTTTAAATACGCTGTGTGCCTATATTTATATTTTCTGTGTGCACAGTTTCTTTATGTGGCCAGTATACATCTTCGACCAGTGCATTGGTGCAACTTTGTTTCCAATGTGTTTCTGACTCAAACTACAAATATGTCTGGTGCAACTCCTTAGATTTTTACAATACTTTCCCATGTCATTTTTAGGTGTACAATTGACATGCACTTGCATGTGTTTATGATAGTGCCGAGCATCATGTGGATATGTTTTCACTGATGCATGAAGTACGAATATATATATCTGCAGTGATTCTTAAACAACTCACTGCAATTGATGCATGCAGTGTGCAAAATTGCCACTGGCCCACAACCCGTGGCTAGTAAACATCCAGTCGGTCCAGCAATCTGCACAGTCACTGGCCCGACTAGCTAGTGAATTTCATGAGGTCATTTTTTAAATATATCACTCTATCCAACTTGTTAAGTTATAATACACTTTTAAATCATGCAAGATTAAGGCCTGATAAATGATGGTATTTTACCTTTTTGTAATCTTTTGCTTAGTTTCTACATTCAAATTTTGTGCTAGAGAATTATTTTGTGGACTAGTAACTTTCAGTCATAGCTAGCCCGACTTGCTGGCAAAATTTGGAAACTATTTTGCACACTGGATGCATGCAACATTATGAAGAGACCAACGGTGAAGATAAAGAGAATGTATAAATCCTACACATAAGCCATACAAGAGCTTTACTGCTCCACTGTAGGCACTGGCTTCAAGCAAAAGTGAAAGCTGTCATATCAACTGACAAGACAGAGTTATACCAATATGTACTGGGTTCAAGCAAAGACGGAAACTTAGCCAAATAGCACAGCCTTGCCTGTGCACCTCACATGACGACTTGATCCTTAAGTCCAGATTGATGAGATATATTAAAAAAAATAGTTCACAAAAATTCCTTTATCTGGTTTCTCCAGTACCACTTCTTACAAACACTGAGTGGTCCAGGCTACCAATGGATTGCCTGACTCACAATAACAGTGTACATAGTATAGAATTTAGTGTGGATGTGCTAGAGCTGGGTTAGAATTGATCTTCAGAAAACCATGCTTGCCGTAAGAGGAGACTGACGGGATCGGGTGGTCAGGCTCGCGGATTTGTTGACACATATCATGGTAACCCAATTGCGTAGATCGATGCTTATGCTGTTGATCACCGAAATATAGCTGGAATTTTGCTGAGTATGGCGTAAAACTAAACTCACTCACCAACCAGCACCTGTGTGTATCCATGCACGTGTAGGGGTTGTTTTGTTTGTTGTTTAACACCGCAGTCGTCATACTCCAGTCATATGAGGTGGTCTGTTAAATATTGAGTATGGGCCAGACAATCAACGAATGTCTGTTGCATGAATGTAAAACATGCGGCAATATTGCTAGTAGTATGATGAAAGAACAACACCTGAGGAGTTAATATGTATTAAAGTAATAGTTACATACAATAGTAAAATGTGACCCTACAAACACAAACATAGCTCACATTTGTAGCAAAATACGTTTTGTAACCAATTCGCCAACTCCTTGTTGTTCTCAAACTGCAGCAGTCTCAATTCTATAGTAATATCATAATACTACTTGTTTGTTTATTTGTTTAATGCTGCACTCAGCAATATTCCAGCTATATCGCAGCGATCTGTACATAATCGTGTCGAGAAGACAATCAAGTGATCAACAGCATAAGCATCGATCTGCACAACTGGGATAATATATGTTGCCAATGCATCAATAACTTTAAAAAGCTAGAAGCAAACTGCAGCCACAAATAAAACAAGCAGACAAGCAAAATACCCCCCAACCCCATAAATCAAAACATTATTTCCAGAACTCTGCATTCAAAACACACAAGGGAAGAAAATATATATCTCAAATTTATTTGCTTTTTTAAAATTCATAATGAAAACAGATACTGCATCCTGACCTATATAATATTATTCACCATCAAAAAGCCATGCATGAAAACAATATTTATTCAAGTGAGCTGCAGTGCCTTTGTGCTGTATTCTCTTTAACTGTGGATCCTCCTAAGCTCCACCAAGGTATGAAATCAATCTTCAGAGTACAAATAACTGTCAAGCTAATGATATCTGATGTACAGTCAATAGGGGTGTATATGAAATAAAAACAAGTTTCAGTCTCTATTATCAACTGACAAGAAACTTGAAACCGTGACCAAGTAAACAGTTAAAACATAAACTCAATGAAGCTGCAAGTCTGTACCCAAACAATAAATAAAATACAAAACAACACTCTATTTTGCGCTGCGTATTTATCAACGAAAGTCAATTACTAAACTATCGACAGTCACACATACTATCGATGCATCGATAGTTTTTCGTTTCCACAATCGATAACCGGTAATTGCTATCGGAGACTCAACAATTGCAATCCATCCATAGTTTGTCAAACATCCTTAGTCATCCGAGGTCTGCACAACTCAAACTGATGACTAAATATAGAATACAGAAGGACTTTTGAGAAAACCCTATGTTTGACGCATCAATGTTTGACACAACAGTGATTGACTGTACATGTATAGTCAACTTCTTAAACATGATCATTGTGAAAAGTTTCGCCAACCATACCGTCTGTTGTTAGATAAAAATCAGGATGTGCATTGGTTAGTAGGGCATATCATAATTACATAATAATAAACAATCTACAAGTTCCTGAAGCTGTAATATTTTCCAGTTGAAAAATAAATGCAACAACAGAACTGATCACAATGACCTGAAATTAATTAAATCTGGTAGACATGTGATTGTATCACTATCACATACTGATTGTGTCTCCAAAGACATTCAGCCCTCTCAAACACATTGTTACAATCCTAGGTAAACATAAGCATGAAAGATATTTATCATATAATATATATGAATGCAAAGGTAACATTGTTGCTAATGATATTGATGAGACATCATAACATGAAGAGGCACATTGTCATGTCAAGCTGAATTGTTGGTTTTGGGGTTGGCTTTGCAGTTAAAGTGTTTGCTTAGCAGGGTGATGGCCCGGTCAGATGTTTTGAGTCCCCACATGGGTAGTATGTGTAAAACCCAATTTTAGGTGTCTTCTGACTGCAACATTGAGAGAAGAATTGCTAAATGCTAAGGAAAACCATACCCACTAACTCACACAGCATTGCTGCAACCTCACGAGGATGGGAAAATGTGAAGGATCTATGTGAATTCCACTCAACCCAAACTGGCTTACACAGAATCTAAATCTTAGGTGAAATCAAACGATATCTTTGTGAGAACATGTTGCATCACAATACTCTGCAGACCATTGTGATGTCGTTGGTTACCATGACATCACAGTCAAATGACATCAATAACCTGTCCGTCTCTGAAGTTGGTTAGCTGTACTTTTTCATTCAAGACACTGACTGCTGTTATACGAACTATGAAGTAGGCAGAATGATTTTGGATGATCAAAAGAATCATATCCTTGTATCTTGATGTCCAATACATCAACAGATTTTAACGACATGTGCTAACATATCTGATATCAACAGACTCGATGATGAGTTTTTACAGTCCAGGAATGACATCAAGAGTTGGTTGGCTGCATTTGATTATGTGGACGGGCCTCTCCAGATACATCAACCTTCAGACCTGGGAAGAAGTACAACTTCTTTCTGAAGGAAGAATTAAAGATGGATACTTGTTTCAGGCCCTGGCCAAAGACCTCGCCTCGACTGACAAGGTTGTTAACCTGAAAAGAAAGAAGGAAACAATGCACAAAATTTCAGCTTTACTATTTCAGGGGCGGTGGGGATGCCTAGTGGTTAAAGCGTTCGCTTATCACGCTGAAGGCCCGGGTTCGATTCCCCAAATGGGTACAATTTGTGAAGCCCATTTCTGGTGTTCCCCCACCGTGATATTGTTGGAAAATTGCTAAAAGCGGCATAAAACTCAACACACTCACTCACTCACTTTGCTATTTCAAACAAATCCTATCTTAGACAAGCCAACGTCACTGCCAATACACCATTGGGATTTATACAAAAAGTCTCTTCTCCAATGAATATATGTTGCTGCTGCTATCTAACCAACAAATGAAGCCAAATGCTTGGTTTAAGTGAGAGGAAAGCAAGGAAGTTATTTGACTGATCACCAATCATTTAACAGTGCATGTTTCTTGCTTGAGAGCTTGTGCAGCTTGATAATATGTGCAGCTTGACAATATGTGCAGCTTGATAATATGCGAACCATGTTTACAAGCCCCCTGACTGGCGCTCTACATATTGCTTTAAAGGCAAACAATGAAAGGGTTCATACAGTGTTAATTTTCACAGATCACCCTTCTTTCAGTCAGTAGTTGTAGTAATAATAGCGAAAGAGTGAAGTTCTGAGTTGTAATTGTCTGAGTTTCGTAAACTGGAGTGAGGTAACTTGCAAGATTCCTGACATGCAACTGTTATGACAGCATTGGAGCATCATCAATATTCATGGTATTGGTCAGACCGCCTCCATGGTGTAGTGATTTGTGTGTCCGCCCAGAGAACAGGTTCGCTCCCATGCTGCGTCTTACCAAAAGAAAATATGGTACTTGTTCCCTGCCTGGCTCTCGGCATTAATGGGTACAACAAGGACTGGTCGGCTCGGAGTCAGTATATTGTGTCTGAGTGGGGTATTCATGCTTCACTGCGGCATGGTATCTCGGTGGGCTAGCACAATAAAACCAGCCTAAGTCTGGGCTAGTACAAGCTGCATACACACGCATGCATGTCGTCATATGAGCGAAATATTCTTCAGTACGATGATAAACCCCATTTCACACACCTCACCTTATGGTACTGGTCAACCCTCAATAATTCATGGTACTACCATTATCACTGCAGCTACTAACTTAACCCCCATGTACAATGAAGTATTGAAGTTCAACCTACAGATGAAGTATTGAACGTCAACCTTTACAGTGAAGTGAGTGAGTGAGTTTAGTTGTACGCCGCACTCAGCAATATTCCTGCTATATTGCAGCGGTCTGTAAATAATCGGATCTGGACCAGACAATCCAGGGATCAACAGCATGAACATCGATCTATGCAGTTGGGATACGATGACATGAGTCAACCCAGTCAACGAGCCTGACCCCCCAATCCCGTTAGTCGCCTCTTACGACAAGTGTGGGTTACTGAAGATCAATTCTAACCCGGACCTTCACGGGTCTACAGTGAAGTACTGAACCTATACAGTGAAGTATTGAAGGTGAACCTGTACAGTAAATGAGTGAGTGAGAATGGTTTTACGCCGCTCTTATCAATATTCCAGCAATATCACTGCGGGCAACACAAGAAATAGGCTTCACACATTGTACCCATGTGGGAAGCGAACCAGGTCTTCGGCGTGACGAGGGAACGCTTTAACCACTAGGCTACCCCACCACCCTCCTATACGGTGAAGTACTGAAGGTGAACCTATACAGTGAAGCTTTAAAGATGAACTCATACAATCAAGAATTGATACCTTCAATGGTGGGGTAGCCTAGTGGTTAAAGCGTTGGCTCGTCACGCTGAAGGCCCGGTGTAGCAGCCCAGAATAACCCCCCACCAGATTATACCCCAGGGTAAACTATGGGCTAGCCCAGTTTATACCCCGGGGGTATATTCTGGACCAGGCCAAAGTATACCCCTCCAGCCCAGACTATACCCCTAAAAAATTATGTAGACAATTCACTCAATATGAGTGTGTGACTCAGGGCAATGGTCTTGGTGTCATTTAAAGGAATTTGTAGGTGCATTTTATTTACATTACTGCATAAGACAAAATTTATGAATCATTTGTTTAGTGCCTCTCTGCGATGTGATATTTTCGACTTTACGTAACCCAGCCATGCTGATATATCATCAAGGTTAGTAGTTAGTTATCTGCTTTATCTGCTTTAACTAAGGTATTTCGTCGACGGGGAATTACACTTATTAAGAAATGAGGTGGAACCAAAAATAGAAAATTTGAGAGAAAACTGATTTGAAAAGTTAAAAAAACATATATACATATTTATTTAAGAAATACACTTCGCTCTACCACCATGTATAGTGTAATAAAACACACTTTTGCCCTGAACTATTATAGTTAAAGCACGAGGACGCTAACTGGCGCGCTGTTCTATTGATGTGTCTGCCCCCTACGTTAAGACGAACGTTACCAGAAAAAAACAAATGATAACAGTTTGATGACGGTTTATGTTCGGATTAAATATCTCTCTGAATTATTTTAATTACATCTGTCATTAACGTAAACCATATGGGGAAATATGAACGTTGCATTTCTACTACCAGCGTAAGTTTAGATCAGTAAATCCAGAGGAAGTTGAGTAGTCAAGCGACATTCCACAATTGCATTGTGGGAATGTAAACATTACGAACGTTACCGTGTCGCTGAAAACTTGTGAGTCGAAATGACACATTTTAACCGTCGTAAAACATAAACGTAATGTTTCCACCAGTGATGTTAGCTGCGTGAAGCAACAGCAAACCAAGAAACGGGATGCAACGATGTAGTTTACTGTAGGAGGCCGTACGAGGCGATGACAACTGACATGCATTGTGACGTCGCTTACATTGTGACGTAATGTAAAATGGTTCGATTACGAGGGGCACACTAGAATGGCGCAGTGACGGGATAACGTCATTCAATTGTTACGTCATCAAAAAACTATACCTTTATTGTCTGATAATGTATTTTTTCTCGATTGTTCTAACTGCTAGGCATCTTAGAAAACAATTTTAAGATGGTAAAAAGTGGAATTATTCTATTATTGTTTTGGGAGATTTGATGGTCTATGGAGATCATCAAGGTGTTTGTGGAATTATTTTATACCTACCTTCTTGTTGTGACACAAATTAGTTTGACTTTTAGAGAGAATACGTGTAAGTTAAAAAAATTAAACAAAACATTTTGACAAGTGTTAAACCAATCAAATGTGAAATGAGAAAGATTAAACCACATGCTACAAACACATTACATTGTAATAGAAACTCAACAACAACATGAACAGATTAACTACGGGCACACTCTACTCATCAACCTAATTAGGGCTGTACCATTTTGGAGGTGGGTGTTGTCTTAATTAATACCCTACTCCACTGTCTAACTAATGAGAGATAACCGGTGTGAGAAGGGACTGGTGTGAGAGTAGGGGCTGAGAAGGGACTGGTGTGAGTAGGGGCTGGTATTTGTTTATCAATATGAATGAGTGACTCTGGAGACTGATCTCGGTGTCATGTACAGGTATTTAAAAGTGCATTTCATTTGATTTCCTATATCGCATTCAACATGGATGACAACCTCTATACCCCGATCTTGAACTACTACACCAGCTCTGATAAGAAGTATCCTAAGCACATCTATGACCTGGATCCTGACACCCGTTTGAATGCGAAGTCACATTTTCGGCAAACTGCAAAACCATTTCGGTTAGCAAACGGAATTGTCTTTCGTGGTGAAAGAGAAGTGCTCATGAAAAGCCGCCTACCCAGCATCCTGAAAGCATGCCATGACAACCCAGCTACAGGTGGACACTTTGGCAGAGATAAAACCTTCGGCAAAATATCCTCGCGTTATTATTGGAAAGGTATGAAGAACGACGTGCAAGAATATGTCAAGACGTGTGCTTTGTCATCAACCCGAAAGTCAACACAGAAGCACCACCACTACACTACCCGGATAAAAGTGCAAAGTCCGTTGCTCTGTTTCTTTTCCATGTCATCTGTCGACTGGGCTGCATGGACACATTGATCAGTGATCAAGGACGTGAATTCGTTAACAAAGTGATTGACTCACTCATGGACCATTTCCAGACGGATCATCGCATAACCTCGGCGTACCATCCTCAGTCAAACGGCCAGCGGGAACGTGACAACAGGACTTTAAAGGCGGCTCTGAGTAAACTTGTCAATGACCAAGTTGATGATTGGGACCAATACATTCCTGGCGTCTTGTTCGCATACCACACATCAGTCCATGCTTCGACGAAATGCACACCATTTGAGGTGATGTACGCCCGCCCAGCCAAGCTACCGATAGACCTGAAACCGACCGCGGGGAATGATGGCATCTTCACCTAATACGGCATGCCCAGAAGTGTTGCAAACCATCATTGATCTACACAAAGGCATCTGTTCCACTGTTTCCAACAATATCTCCAATGCACAGGATCGCCAGAAAGAAAACTACGATCGACGACACACCAGCAACAAGAGATAGCTGTTGGATCAACAGTGTACATCAAGAATAACCAACGAGTCCAGAGGATTGGAGCCACGCTGGACTGGACCATACTCCGTCGTCCAGACATTGACCAAAGGTTGTGTGAAGCTACAGAAAACCAACAAGATCCTGAACAACACATACCACGCCAGTAACCTCAAAATCTACTCCGATGACCCACCCACTAACGACAACGCCGAAAGCCCCAGTGATTCGAAGCAACGAAAAAGACTCAGAGATGAACTGGAGTCAGGCGGCCATACAGACCTTACTACCAAACAAATCAAGTCAACCCGTTTGTTCAACCCTATCCCCCAAAATGCTCGAAGGAATTTGGCTGCTGCATTAGGCCTGAACTCTTCAAAGGACATTTACTACGGAAGATCAACAGACTTGACAGCACCCCGACGGACATACAGAACCAAAGGCGACGGCAACTGCTACTTCCGCTGCATCAGTTACAGCCTGACAGGATCCGAAGACAGTCACAGCACTATCCGAGATCGAGTGGTTCAGCATATGAACAATGACATTAATGATGAACTAAAACATTTCCTGAACCAAAATGTCAATGAGTACATCACAGATTCGGGAATTTCACGAGATGGAGTGTGGGCAACAGATGCAGAAGTTATGTTATAGTCTGGGCTAGCCCAGTTTAACCCCGGGTATAGTCTGGGACAGGGGTATACTCTGGCCTGTTACACCGGATCTTCACAGGTATAACCATAGGATAATGTGTCTGTGTCTAGTTTACTTTGGAAGACCATTTTACAGTCTCTGAATGGCATTTAGATGTGATACACACATAAAGGCACGAATTTATGAATGTCATCTTCTTTGTCTTGAGGGACAACATTTTGGAGTACATCCTTACTCCTTAACCATTTACCACGTTCAAGTTGCATCCATAAATTCTTGCCTTTACCATTTTTACACATTCTATGTTCCCCTTTTCACAATCGAAACACAGAACTATCTTGCCATGTTTACATGAAATAGTTCTGAGTATGATGTGACAGCCTTGTAACATTCTAGATAAAACAGATACTGATTTCTTTCTCACATGACGATATCAAGCTGTCGCCAGTTTCTCTAACTAAACTAACTATGGCCAGACTACAGACAAGATATCAACTCTAACCTTTGTCATCATTGACACAAGATCTTCTGAGCGGGCATACTTCTGAAAGATGTAGGTTATCGCCTGTACAAACCATGTGCCTCTCATTGTGTTTCGGTAAGACAGATAATCTGGAAGAAACAAATATGAAGCAAACATGAGCTCGACTTCCAGCTATAGTGTGGAAGTTGGACTTGTGGAAGTTTCTTCAATGCCATTCCCTGAAAACCCAGAAACCAGCTCATACACATAGGACTTCTATAGCTTGAATTGTTAAATCAAACAAAAAATCCTAACTTACAAAGCCCATAACACACCATGTACAGCATTCTCTTCCCACAGAGGTTACTTGTCATATCTTACTACGAACCTCTGTTCTAATACGGGCATATTTCCCGGTTCTCGTAAAATCCCCTAGTGGCAAAAGATCGCAACACGAATTATCTCCCTTCTTTCTATCCAATCAGAACACATGTTACATCGACTTAGATTCAACTTGACTAACACAAGCAAATGTGGGGCCACAAATATCCCCCATCTGCTGGGGACTTGTGTTGATGTTACACACAAGACTAGCAAGGCTAGCTTGTCCGTTGTCAACGAGGGCGATGGAGACGCCACTGATCCGCCATAACATGACTGAGTTCTGTCTAGAAGAAATGTTTGCGCATCGCGCAGGGGAAGAGGTTTAGTTTTCTCGAAGCATACGGAAATTACCGAGGCCTTGCGAATGATCACTTTTGAAACGTCGCTGATTGCACATCTAAATCTGATTGTCTCCAATCACGAGTCTTGAACGCTCACACCATGAAAGGGCCGTATTAGAACAGAGGTTACGTAGGAAGATATGACAGGGGTAACCGCTGTGGGAAGAGAATGCATGTACAGTGAAAGGCCCTGTTTGTTGACTTTTTCTCTGGGAGCAGTTTGGCTCCTGAGTGAAAAACCTGTGAAGCCAACTAGTTTATTATTATGCACAATATCATGTGTTTTATTAATAAAACTCTACTCTATGCAGTCTGATCTTGTCAATGTTTGGGAACTTTGACTCATTTAAAATTACACTTGCCTTACACAAAATGTGTTATTCAAGCAAATTCTGGATTCAAGGTACCAAAAATTCAAGCTCTTGTTAGATGAATGCCAACTGAGATCTTTCCGTGAACCTGTACACAATACCCACTACACCAGCCCTATTGACTGACTTGCTGACTTTTCATTGTTCTGTTGTACCCACAACCATTTGTGCTAGCAGGCTTTGGTTGTACCAAATGTTTTTTTCAGATTCTTGAGCTGGTTTCAAGTTCAACATATTTGTCAGATGAACCATAGCCAATAGATCCCAACCACACCTATTTCTTTACTCACTCTTTTGACCATCAAAACTAGACTGTTGCGATACCCGGTGTTATCACTGACAATACTACAAGCACCTATTAGAAGATAAACACGTTAACCCATTAGAGACATGGACTAGACTGCTGCAATAACTGGTGTTATCACTGACAATACTACAAGCACCTATTAGAAGATAAACACGTTAACCCATTACAGACATGGACTCTAGACTGCTGCAATAACTGGTGTTATCACTGACAATACTACAAGCACCTATTAGAAGATAAACACGTTAACCCATTACAGACATGGACTAGACTGCTGCAATAACTGGTGTTATCACTGACAATACTACAAGCACCTATTAGAAGATAAACACGTTAACCCATTACAGACATGGACTCTAGACTGCTGCAATAACTGGTGTTATCACTGACAATACTACAAGCACCTATTAGAAGATAAACACGTTAACCCATTACAGACATGGACTAGACTGCTGCAATAACTGGTGTTGTTATCACTGACAATACTACAAGCACCTATTACTATAAACACGTTAGCCCATTACAGACATGGACTAGACTGCTGCAATAACTGGTGTTATCACTGACAATACTACAAGCACCTATTACTATAAACACGTTAACCCATTACAGACATGGACTAGACTGCTGCAATAACTGGTGTTATCACTGACAATACTACAAGCACCTATTACTATAAACACGTTAACCCATTACAGACATGGACTCTAGACTGCTGCAATAACTGGTGTTATCACTGACAATACTACAAGCACCTATTAGAAGATAAACACGTTAACCCATTACAGACATGGACTAGACTGCTGCAATAACTGGTGTTATCACTGACAATACTACAAGCACCTATTACTATAAACACGTTAGCCCATTACAGACATGGACTAGACTGCTGCAATAACTGGTGTTATCACTGACAATACTACAAGCACCTATTACTATAAACACGTTAACCCATTACAGACATGGACTAGACTGCTGCAATAACTGGTGTTATCACTGACAATACTACAAGCACCTATTACTATAAACACGTTAACCCATTACAGACATGGACTCTAGACTGCTGCAATAACTGGTGTTATCACTGACAATACTACAAGCACCTATTACTATAAACACGTTAACCTATTACAGACATGGACTAGACTGTTGAAAATAACTGGTGTTATCACTGACAATACTACAAGCACCTATTACTATAAACACGTTAGCCCATTACAGACATGGACTAGACTGCTGCAATAACTGGTGTTATCACTGACAATACTACAAGCACCTATTACTATAAACACGTTAACCCATTACAGACATGGACTAGACTGCTGCAATAACTGGTGTTATCACTGACAATACTTAAAGCACTGACAATACTTAAAGCACCTATTAGAAGATATACACGTTAACCCATTACAGACATGGACTAGACTGCTGCAATAACTGGTGTTATCACTGACAATACTTAAAGCACCTATTGGAAGATAAACACGTTAACCCACTAAGCACATGGACTGAACAGTTTTATTACCTGGTGTTGTGGCAAAAGCTACAAACGTGTCTGCTCTGGTTCCAAGGTTTTCTTCAGCAACTGAATCTGTCTGTGTTTCACACTGCACCTGTGATTTTGACCCTGCCTTTGTTTCATCCTTTAACCCCAGTTTCTGAAGCTTGAGACTGATTTCAGACACAGACGGCTCTGGGTCTCCAGCACTGCCTCTATCTTTCTTTGCTGCAGTACAAAACAGCAGAAGTAGTAAAATAAAACAAGGATATGTTTGTCTGTTGTTTGATGCCGGACTCAGCAATATTCCAGCTTTATGGCGGCAGTCTGTAAATAATCAAGTTTGGACCAGACAATCCAGTGATCAACAACATGCACATGGATCTATACAATTAGTGAGTGAGTGAGTGAGTTTAGTTTTACGCCGCACTCAGCAATATTCCAGCTATATGGCGGCGGTCTGTAAATAATCGAGTCTGGACCAGACAATCCAGTGATCAACAGCATGAGCATCGATCTGCGCAATTGGGAACCAATGACATGTGTCAACCAAGTCAGCGAAACTGACCACCCGATCCCGTTAGTCGCCTTTTACGACAAGATAGTCGCCTTTTTATGGCAAGCACATGGGTTGCTGAAGACCTATTCTACCCCGGATCTTCACGGGTCCTATACAATTGGGATACGATGACATGTGTCAACTAAGTCAGCAAGCCTGACCACCCGATCCCATTAGTCGCCTCTTATGACAAGCATGGGTTGCTAAAGATCAATTTTACCCAGATCTTCAAGAGTTACATGATGAGGAATAAACACATGTATTCTGTTATATGTTTTCAAAAGAAGCAAAGAGTGAGTGAGTGAGTATGGTTTTACGCTGCTTTTAGCAATATTCCAGCAATATCACGGCGGGGGACACCAGAAATGGGCTTCACACAATGTGCCCATGTGGGGATTCGAACCCGGGTCTTCGGCGTGACGAGCCAACGCTTTAACCTCTATGCTACCCCACCGCCCCAGAAGCAAAGAGAGCAACAAACCCTTTTAAATTTGAATATTACAGGGATCAATGGTATGGGTAACACACACAAACACCACATACTTATTTCAACAATGTCAAGTGACTAGAGCTGTGACGATATATCATAGTATTTGATAATTGTGATACATTTTCTGACAATAAATATATCGATACTTTTTTTCGTATCGTGATATGTATCGTTGACCTAAAAACTGTGAATTTTCACTAGAAATTGGCGGTTATGTCAAAATTTACACTGTTACTTGTTATCAAAATACACTGTTTTAAAGATAGCATATCGTGAAAGGCATCGAATCGTATCGTTCCAAGATATCACCATACATATTGTATCGTGACATTTCTGTATCATCACATCTCTACAAGTGACCTCAATAAAATCACATTAAGTCATTTGTACTTACTGCCCTGACACGCCTGTATGAAGAAAAGTTTCGGCTTCCCGACAAGTGTTTGACAGTTCTGACCATTAAACATATCAGTGATTTCCTGTATGTTGGCAACCTCGCCGTCAACCCCATACACGCCTCCTCCAGTCCCATGGGACAAGATGACACACGCGAAACAGTCATAGCCGTCATGATCGAGCTGTCTCTCTTCAACCAGCACTTCTATGATTTTCTGAAAAGGCATTAAGAGTCAAAAGGTTAGTTTAAAGGTCATTTAGCTCACCTGGTCATATGTTACCATATGCATTTTATCAGAATCAGTATTGGGGTATTTTTGTGAGAAATAACACAAAACAGTCATAGTTGTCATGATTGACCTGCCTCAGTTTATCCAATACTGACATAATCCCCTGAAAACAACTGAAAAGGTATTATTTTCTGGTAACTACGCACTGCCTCATACTGTAAGGGTGTCAAGAATAAAAACGCCTTTTACCTCCTTTGTGAGATTTGTCTTGGTGACTGTTTTAAAACTCAACTTCTCAAACAGCATATCGACAGATGTTGCATCTACATCCGACCCCTGTCTATCGTCAAGTGGCAGCTGTTTCTTATTCCTTGCACTGCTGAAGTTCACATTGTTGATTATCAAAAGACGTCCCCTTGGGTTCTTTTGCATACAGTAATACTGAAACAGTCACAGGTAGAACGATGTAATAGTGGAAACCAAAACATCACATATTCACAGGTTCAAACATCACCATGACAGTATATTCATGTCAATGCCTTCAAAAGTAAAGGCATCACCATGACAGTATTCATGTCAATGTCTCAGTGTTGTCTAGGGTTAAACCATCACCATGACAGTATTCATGTCAATGTCTCAGTGTTGTCTACGGTTAAGATCTCAACATGACAGTATTCATGTCAAAGTCTCAGTGTTGTCTAAGGTTAAGACATCGGCATGACAGTATTCATGTCAATGTGTCAGTGTTGTCTTGGGTTAAGGCATCACCATGACAGTATTCATGTCAATGTCTCAGTGTTGTCTTGGGTTAAGACATCACCATGACAGTATTAATGTCAATGTCTCAGTGTTGTCTTTGGTTAAGGCATCACCATGACAGTATTCATGTCAATGTCTCAGTGTTGTCTTGGGTTAAGGTATCACCATGACAGTATTCATGTCAATGTCTCAGTGTTGTCTTGGGTTAAGGCATCACCATCACAGTATTCATGTCAATGTCTCAGTGTTGTCTTGGGTTAAGACATCTCCATGACAGTATTCATGTCAATGTCTCAGTGTTTTCTAGGGTTAAGATCTCAACATGACAGTATTCATGTCAATGTCTCAGTGTTGTCTTGGGTTAAGACATCTCCATGACAGTATTCATGTCAATGTCTCAGTGTTTTTTAGGGTTAAAACATTGGCATCGCAGCAATCATTGGCTTCATTTTACACTTTCATGAAAGCCAAAAATGTTTATCCTTGATAATAGTTATTTCCTAGCTTTGCATCCAAAACAGGGCTGTAACTTATCACCGATGTCTATCACTGCCAGGAAAAAACAATGGCATTTGAAAGCTTATTTTATTCATGCCACTTAAAAAAAATAGGGTCGGCACCAGAATTCAAGGGTCAGTCTATCTACAAATGGAACAGTACCGGTACTACATTCAGGGGAAGAGGAAACCTCTTTTGTGGCAAAGGAGACAATACTTCAATGAAGGGAGCTCATCTAAAGTACTGTCGGAAATGCTAGAAAAATGCTTTTTAGCCTTAATATCTTTACAAAGGTGATAAATGTATTATGTTGTCAATATATCAACTCACCTATAGTGTACCTAATTTTTATTTCAATTGATTTAACATTCCCATGGATTTAAAGGGCAGTTTACAGGAGAGAATTTGGTACCAAAACAACAACTTAAGATTTTTTCAGAGTTCAACAACAGAAATCTGAAATAGTCTTTACATTTATGCTAATAATACAGGTGGTGTAAAAATATAAATTAACGTTTTTCTTAAACAAATAAATGTTGAATGTTTGTGTTACTTTACTTAATTATTGTTTCTTTATTGAAGAAATATTAATATAAATGTTAAGTCTTGATAAATAAGTTTCCCGTCATGCATGCACATCTTTATCACAGCCTTCACTATGGCCAACTATTTGCAGACGATTGTTGCAAAGGTTTATAAGTTTTTTGTGCTTGAAAAATACAGAGGTAAACCTTTCATTAGTATAGAAATGGTTTAAAACAGAACTTGTAGAGCTGTTGGTATGTCTTACCAACAAGTTTACAATATTGTAAACAAATCAGACAAGACAGGGACCGTCTCAAAAGCAAAACCGGGACGTAAAACCATCCTTGACAACTTTGACATGGGAGTACTTAGACGGGCGGGTCTACAAACTTTAGGAGAAGAAAAATATATATATTCTAAAGAAGCTACACCAGTGACTTTGTTAAATCTTTGGCCAATGTTCACAACTAGATTAAACTGACTGAATTACATCCATATTTTTGCAATGAAATATACTGTTGACATGCAAAACATTTATTAAAACGTTGCACATTTCTACAATCAATCGATAAGATAACACAAGTGATAGGATTCTTTCCAAGGTACAGTAATTCGTATGTTTATTTCAAAACAAACCCACATACACAAATGATCCCTCACATAACCAATACGTATACTATACGTACACATATTCAACAATTTGAAGGAAACATCTATTGAGATGACCCCTCGCCCGAGCATGTGCTCAGGTGTCAATTTCACCTGTCAATACCGTGCATGCCGATGACGTAACACAGGCAGTTAATGTTTGTATCAAATAACGTCCCCCTACCCCTTATTTTTGGTATTTTCATCAGTAAAAACGCATTTTAGGGCATGTCTCAAAATTTATTCCCTCGGTCTACATTAGGTAGATGTTTCTTAAAGTGATATTTGCTATTTAAGTAACTGTAATACCTCTGAATTTTAAATATAACTCAAAAAGCATTTTTCTAGCATTTCCGACAGTACTTTAATAATGCACAGTGACTGAAATTGCTACATTATAAGTCCAAAGTTTAGCAACGGTTTTCTTTTGCAATAGTATTTGCAAGGTTGGTAAGAAATAAATAAAAAATGATTGTCTCTGTACCCGTGGCTGATTTCTATGGCCAAAAGATAGATATAGTATTTGGGATATATGATCTTACCGAACCAGCTGTACCAGACTTCACAAATTTATTCCACATATTTGTATCTTCGTTTGGAACCGGCAAAACATCAACAAATAATGGATTGTAGTTTTGATCAGGCCAGTCTGAAACATACATGTATAAGCAGTAAGATAAAACATCAATCTCAGTTTATCAAAACTATTCAAAGCAAAAGTAAAAGTAAAGATGGTTACCAAAGGGAGGTTGAAAGACCCAGGTTCAATTCACCACATGGGTACAATGTGTGGAGCTCATTTCTGGAGTCCCCTGCTGTGATATTGCTGGAATATTGATAAAAGTACTGTAAAACTATACTCGCTCTCTAAAGCAGAATGCTTGGACAGTGTTCGCGGTAGGTTTTGTACCAGTGCGTACAGAAATAAAATTACATATATGTGGTCCAAATCTTTAGCGTGTGAAATGTTCATTGCAATAACATCATTATCATAACAGATAATTATAATTATAAGCATTAACCTACGTTCCAGTAATGAATGATCATTATAAGACTGTGGTTTGCCTATACTGTATGTTGAAGTCACTACCTGACTACCGACGATTGTTAATAGTGGTTTTACATATCGATCTATTACTGATATTATTATTTGCACCATCGAGTGTCCCCAGAAACCTCTGCAGCTAAAAATTGACAACCGAGTGGATCAACAGTCAGGGCTCGATTTAGTGCTTTGTTACTTGCACTGGTGCAACCCAATTTTAGAAAGTGCAACATAGCTATGAGTCTAACTTGCACCAGGTGCAGGTCAATTTGTGGGTGGGTAAACTTCTGAATAAACATCTAAATAATTCAATAGCATATTTCATTCATTACATATTACCATAAAAGCAGTGCATCTGGAATTTGGCTTGTGTAACTAGGTTTTTATCTCAGGTTGCACCTGGTGCAAGTAGGTTATCATCTCTTAAATCGAGCTCTGACAGGAGAGTCACCACAATGATTGTTCATCATCATACCACACAACAAAAGTGTGAAACTTTAAACAGAAACCACAATGAAATAACAACTAATTACATCAAACATCATTCGTGATTATTGTCGGACTTGTGGCAGCCATGCTCAAGTTGCTAAATAGAGATTAATTCCCGAGGATAGCTGTCATATTGTATTTACAACATGAGTGACTGAAAGATGATATTTCCTGAGGAAGAGTGAGGGAAATATCATGTTTCTGGCACGAGTGCTGTACATAGTAAAAGGTTATGAATGAAAACAGTAGTTCCGCAACCAAACGTCATGTGATTGTCTCAAAGGGCCAATAGAATGGCCTTGGGTTTATTACACGTGTGCTATGTATCGAAAATATGTCATCACTTATTTTAACACATATGGATAATAACAGTACTTGTACACTCACATCTTGGTAGGTCATCCTCCACTGGGGATGCGACATACGTAGCTTGTTGTGGGGCCATGGGTGCACTTTGTCCAGCCTGTCTGTCTGCTGCCATGGCTGCCAGTCCTTGTCCAGGCTTTAAGCGATCAGCAGCAATGTATTCAGAACATGCAATCAGGACATTGAAGAAATCGTCAAACGCATACTGCCCCCTTCGTGGCAGTAAATCAAGCAAAGCTCTTTTTTTCTCTGTTTTTGTTGATCGTCCTTCCTGATAAAGAAAAATAAAAAAAATAAAGGTAATGAATCATATTGATTGATTGATAGCTTTTGTCAATGCAGCACACAGCAATATTCCAGCTATATGATGTAAATAATCGAGTCTGGACCAGACAATCCAGTGATCAACAGCCGACAGAGGTACAGATAAGCTACGCATCTGCGTTGATTATGCAAATATTTATGTGAAAACTCAATTGCTATTTAGTCTATTGCGTACAAGTACGCTTGAATTTTTGTAAATACTCAATAAATTTGATCTTACATGTGTAAATACAAAAATGTCAAATCTTAGCTTGCGTACTGGAGAATTAGTTCCTATAATTAAAATCTGAAAACCAATATCGACTATCATTGCATGGTTTCACTAGCTGGGCGAATGTTCTTACCTCCCTTTGTTCTGAGACTGAAGCGCACATACTCTTAGGCAGTGTCTGTTACACAACAGCCTCAGTCGTACAAGTATGCTTGAATTTTTGTAAATACTCAATAAATTTGAACTAACGTGCGTACACACAAAAATATCAAATCTTAGCTTACGTACCGGTGCATAGACAAAATAACTGAAGGAAATTGAGAGGTTCTTTTTCAACACAAGAAACTTGGCAACTTGCAACTTCTTATCGTTTCTCATATTACAGATCCAATATAAATACCATTTAAACTTTATCATATTTCTACAATTAATGGAAAATTGCAAAATATGCAATTGAGTTTGAATGAGGTGGGCACAATTTATTTGGTTACTCAAAGACAAAATTAGGATACCCAATTGAGATGAACACAAGCAAATAACTCAATGACCCAAAAAGTTAACTCAGACCTGATAAACATAAAAAAACCCAATCCTATCATGCATGCATGAAGTTGATGGAAGCCATATTTTCACATTTTGACAGACAGACAGACAGAGTTTATTTTGTAATGTCGGCCTAATGGCCCATAATACAGTTACATAATATAAGGTACAGATGGACAGTGGTCATTCTCATTAAGTACATTGTAGCTTTATACCTGCAAGAGAGTATTTGGTGTATAAATAAAGCAGTAATGTATATAATACGTGGATGCTTAGAGCTTAAAATACTATGGAGTGAGAGTGGGCACTTATATACATTTCTAAGTTGGATGAGATATTTTTAAATGGAAGTGTTGGTACTGTTTACAAGAAATGAAAATATGTTTTTCGTCTTCAATATGTGGGGAATTGCAGAATGTACAGTAGAGCTCTTCAATAGGCACATCCTGATGACAAAAGATGTTGGCTTTAAAATTGTGGGCAATCCGAAATTTGCAGAGAGCATGTATGAGATCTTGACTTTTTAGTTCTGTGATGTAAGGTTCCAGTTGGAGATCGAATTTGAACTGTGAGTATTGATTTAGATGTTTTGATGTATTGATATCGTAGCGCCAGCTTTGGTGTCCTATATCTGTAAGTCGTTGTTGGAAGATAAACATGAATAACTTTAATTACAGTGTCAACTCCTTGGCTGAACCATACGTGTGAAAAGCCGGCTCGGAAAAGAATGGTTCTCACATTTGACACCCAGTTGCTCTTGCCCATAACGTCAAAAGATTTAAGCATCTTATATGATTGTATATGGTAACGATTATTCTCCATATGCAGTAATTTGAACCAGAATTTATTACTTTGGCCTGTGTGAGCACGAACATAGGAATACGTCCTAGTTCACCAAGGACGGCCTTGTTTGACACACATTTTCAAAGTTTTAAGAACCTTTTGAAATAAGTTGTTTGGATCCGTTCAATGACTAAGGATACATCCTTGTCTAACCCCACGCAAAATATCAAATGCTTCTGATCTCTGGTTGTCCACTCTAACACATGCTTGCACTGACGTATACATACTCTTCAGTAGCACAAGTAACTTTCCGTGGCATCCACTTTTAACTAATGTATACAATAATTTATTCCTATCCACATAGTCGAAGGCTTTTGTGAAGTCGATAAATCCACAGTAGAATCGCCTTTTGTTCTATTTAGATACTTAGAGCACAGTGCCTGTAACGTGAAAACATGGTCTATCGTGGAATATTGTGGATGGAATCCAGCTAGGCTTTCAGAGAGTAAATTGTTGAAATCAATCCAAAAACTAGGTCGTTTTTCAATTATTGTTATAAAAATCTTCCCCATAACATTTAATAATGATATGCCTCTGTAATTGGTAGGCTCCTTCTTGTCCAATATTCCATCGTTTCAGGAACATACCTTCATACAATATTTTGTTAAATAGCAGTTTTAGATACGGAGTTAGGAAACCTGATGATAATTTGAAGAGTTCTGACGTAAGCCCATCAATGCCTGGAGCCTTTCCACTTTTGAGGTCCAATATTGCCGTTGTAATTTCATCCTCAGTTATTTCAGTGTTAAGGTAAGCGTCACTATTTGCACAACCTGCACAGTCATTACATCTGTGGTTTTCCAAGAATTCCTTGACATGTTCATCAAAATCAGTGTTGGTTTTAATCAGTACAGGATTTTATAATTTCCTAAAATTGATCTTGCCATTCACATGCTGCAATTGAAGAAACGTGGTTTGTACGGAATTGGTTTTTAATTTGTTTCCAAAATTCTTTACAGTTTCCAGCTGCAGCTGCAGCATTAATTTCATCTGCCATTTTCCTGTTGTACTGTGTTTTCTTAAATTTGCAACATTCTTTGAAATATTTTTTGGCATCCATATAGTAGCTCCGATTTTTGTCACATCTGAAATTCCTGAACTTATAAAGGTGTCTGTATTTCTCAGATTTTAAGCGTTCGCAATCTTCATCAAACAAGGGTGGTTCCTGGAGTCGTTGATGAAACTTCAAAGAGCCGGGTTTAAGTTGTCCAGTGGCAGCAACAATATCAGAAAGTTTACCAACAGCACGCTCGGAATCAATGCATATCCCCCTGCTTACTTCCATTTACAATATGGAGGTTGAAAACTTTGCACAATGTTAGTAGACTCCTGCCATAATTATTGGTTTGCTTGTCAAATGACATTCCTTGCATATCAAAATGGTCTGAGTTGTAGTCGTCATGCAGAGGCAAATAGTCAATATCATCTTTCATAATACAGTCTGAATCTTCAGCAGTTCTAGCATTAAAATCTCCGAGAAGTATAAACTTTATCTCATCACCTAAGTCGGACATAATGTGCAGTAGTTTCTTCTCAAGAAGGGAAATCCCATTGTCGTCAGAACCTGTGTACACCCTTGCATTTTCCGGATGTATGTAGAGAAACAAAACAAATATATGTTCGTAACTAATGCATGAATTCATGTTTAAAACAATCACATTTGTCCATTGTTCATAGAGTCTCAAGAAGTGTGTAGATACACACACTTATTCCTCCCGAGTATCTACCATGATCACCAGCACGTTTAGCATCTGAGATAAAACATTTATGATTTGGAAATGCATTTTCTAGTATACTCGATACATTCGAAGAATATGGACACATTGTTTCAATAAAGCAAAATATGTCAAAATAATTACAGAAACTAAACATCTCACAATTGTCTATTATATTCCATGCTAATACTGATAGATGTTGTTTTGATGTATTGTCACTGTGTTCTGATAGTGTAGATGTTGAACTTGAAGGTCCGGGGCCAAGGCCAATGTCCTAGCTTGATGTTGTAGGCTGGGTGTCTGGCTGAGTCGGTGTCTTGGATGTCCGGGGCTGTCGTTTCTCCCAGTTCCGTCTTTGTCCAGCCTGCTTCATGTCTCCGATTGTGTCATCATAAGCATTGACAACACCCTCAATGATGAGTTTGTCATTTTCGTTGTTTTTGTTTGCTTCCTTGTTTCACATGTTTAATGCCGTACTGAGCTGTCTTCCAGCTATATGATGGCATTAGATAATGATCAAGTCTGGACCAGATAATCCAGTGACTGACATCATGAGCATCAATCTGTCACAACTACCAAACATGCAACTACTAAACAAGTATAAAATGTCAGAGCTCCAGATAAGATTTAGCTCATGTGGGTACTGTACCCACTGTATTTTTTTGCAGTGGGTATTTAGAATGTTGAGTGGGTATTTCATTTTCCGTTACCCATTGCTTTCAAATATGTGCGTATTACTCACCCAAGTATTATGTGACTGAATAAGTTTACTAAGCAGGCATGTTCTGCCTTATGTCATACCTAATCAAAACAAACTTAAATATAATGGAAATGAGTTCATAAAAAATCACTCATCCTATACTGACAGTACAACACTTGTCCTATACTAACAGTACAACTTGATAGCAATCGATGTCTTTGTCATTACACAAGTGATTTTTATAAATATATTCCGTATGCATTTGTTTTAAACCTTTTGCGTATCTAACATTTTAAATGCGTAATTGGTACACAACAATTATTTTTCAATGCGTAATTTGAAATTTTATATGCGTATCTTATCCGGATGCTCAGCTTATCTGGGCCTCTGAATGATTAAAGTTCTCATTGATTTCAACACATCTGATAACTTTCAAAATGATATGTGAAAGTTTGGAACATTTTTAGAATTATGTATGGATCCAGAGCATATCTTGTTTCCACTTTTACTGATCACAACTATACTTACCAGTATGTCCTCCTTCATGGACTCTGTGATTGTTCTCGTTTCATAGAGGTGGTTGACGATTGCTTCAATATCTGACATATTGTCCACCAATGCACTTCGGTTTGTTCGAAGTATCTCCTTATGAGCTTTCACCATCGCCTGAAAGATATATTGGAAGCACGTTGTAGATATGTCAACAAACAAAACATATACACTGGTAAGATGGCAGATCTTTCTATAAAATAAGCAGAAATGTTCCCTTGTAAATCATGTCCAAAGTTTTTTTTCTGTTTCTAAGAGGTTTGAAGAAAAAAGAGATTACATAAAATGAATGTGACCAATTCTAGTATTAGGGTTCACAATGAATATAATTTTGTATGATTAAGGTTTCCAGATCGAATTTAAAAAACAGATAGATAGATGTTTTGTCGAGACAGTGATCTTGTTTCCAAACCAATATCTGTTTCGATCTGGATTCCAAGTTCACTTCTGATAACATGACATTGACTAAATGTTTTGGAGGTAGGACTACGTGGACTGAAAAAATATTTCTTGTTTACAGCCAATATGAGATTCTACGTTATTACACTGGCAGACATTCTAAAGGGTAGATCCACAACCCAAAGTAATGACCTATCATTCTTTTTATATGTCAAGAGCTCACATTCTGGTTAACCTTTCCGTACTTTTTGAAAATATACTGAGAGAATCCACAGGACTCCAACACTGAATTTTAAGGGCACCTACAAGCAAAAGGGGTAAAGCTGTAAAGGAATAAAAACATGTGCTGTACTGATTACTTGGATAATTAGATTGGAATCTAATAGGATGTCCAATATTAAATTTTAAAGGGACCATTCAAGCCATAAGATAGTGTTGTAAAGGTAATAAAATGCTGGTGTGTTCTGTTTTTTGGGATAACTAAATTTGAGTTTTTAATATGTGTTTAATAAATCAATGATCATGTGGACAAGAAATTATTCCAAGTAGAAATTCTTCCTCTGCAGACGAATTAGCATTCTCTTCCCACAGAGGTTACTTGTCATATCTTCCTACGAACCACTGTTCTAATACGGCCATATTTCCAGGTTCTCGTAAAATCCCCTAGCGGCAAAAGATCGCAACACGAATTATCTCCCTTCTTTCTATCCAATCAGAACACATGTTACATCTACTTAGATTCAACTTGACTAACACAAGCAAATGTTGGGCCACAAATATCCCCCATCTGCCGGGGACTAGTGTTGATGTTACACACAAGATGTTTAATGGCTAGCTTGTCCGTTGTCAACGAGGGCGATGGAGACGCCACTGATCCGCCATATCATGACTGAGTTCTGTCTAGAAGAAACGCAGGGGAAGAAGTTTAGTTTTCTCGAAGCATACGGAAATTACCGAGGCCTTGCGAATGATCACTTTTGAAACAACGTCGCTGATTGCACAACGAAATCTGATTGCCTCCAATCACGAGTCTTGAACACTCACACCATGAAAGGGACGTATTAGAATTAGAGGTTACGTAAGAATTTTTTCGAAGATATGACAGGAGTAACCTCTGTGGGAAGAGAATGACGAACTAGATGCTGCCATTTTGTTGCTATGTAGATACAAGAGCAGATAATTTGGGGGAGTAAACCGGTTCGAAAACGGTACACCAGTAATATTGCTCAGCCCTACTCATTTCCTTATCTTCATGTTGAACTCGTACGTGAAATGTAATAGGGTTAATATGGTTAGTGTGAGCTTGTTCTGAGATGTAGAAGATGGTGACATACGGCATGTATTGATGAATGGATGTTAGGAATTATACATAATACATCTATACAAGAAAGATAACTAGATAGTTAATGATAGTAATAGCAAAACTACACAATTGACATGTGTGAGAGAGAGAAACATGCCGAAAGTGTGGGAAAGACGGAATATGTAATCTAGTCCATGTGCTCTGCCTACCTGATGACTTTACATTAAAGAGTGTTTAAGTATGACAAACTGTAATGGCGATAAGTTGCAGTGCGCTAACCACCTGATCCTGGGAATGAGTTAAATTATTTGTTTCATTGGCATTTTAGAAGTTGGTGAGTAATAAGAAAGTAAGATACTACTGAAAGCTAATGACAGGAACACCTCAAAACTACAACATCAACCCAAAGGTGTTGTCAACAATATCAGCTGTGACTGTGGCAAGGCCTATGTAGGTGAAACCTCCCGGCCCATAAATATCAGAATTAATTAAAGAAAACAAATAACATCTACCACAAAATCAGACCAAAATTAGCAATTTCCAACATCATCATCAACTGTCCTAATCACAACAAAATTTGGGACAATGTAGAGATATTATCGAAAAACCTCCTGGACTCCACCAAAAGAAAACTTGCAGAAGCAGTTCAAATCCGCAGACACAAGCCCTCAATCAACAGAGATCAAGGATATCTCATCCCATCTGTATACAATGAACTGATACAAATAACAGAGCAGAGCACTCCAGCCATCATTGCTAATTAATCTTATAAGCCATGCACATTTTGTTCTGCCTCATGCACAATTGGCTTCCTCCTATTGTCACTTTCGCGCTTGAAAATTGTGCCAAAAACAGACTAACATGACAGCAAATTGAAAATTTATGCAGGCCCATTGTTTTTACATCTGTAGAAGTGACCCTCTCTTAGTTCTTTTTTCCAATGATTATACTTCCCCCAAATAATCTAGTCCGTATAAAAAAATGTTATTTGTAACTTTGCATTAATTTATTTCTCTTTGTTGTAATGCAAGAAAAATATCCCCATATGTAGTACGTACGCTTCTGACGGATGTTTTGACTGAACAATTTAGTCAGACACCAGTTACCTCCCCTTAATGAGTCGCTTCCCCAGTCACGTCTACGCAAGACAGTTCGTGCAGTTTTGAAGAAAATAAACATGTTTCAACACAATAACAAACGTTGGTGTGCCTCAAAAGCTGCATATATATTTTGAATCTGTGATTAATGAACTTTCAGAAAATACTAAATGTAAGTTTCTGAAAAATATATGCACACAGGTGAAATTAAGCTTCAATATCGTCAATTTTGCACGCTTTTTGTCAAAATTTGACTATTTAATGTTTTTTTTACGCTTTCATTCACGCCAATCAATAACTTGAAGACCTTTCAATGACTGTAGCAAATGTTGTTTAATTATTTTCATAAATAACACTTTTAGACGCGTTTTTGTGTGACATGCAGAATTTCCCTGTCTGTGATGTTACGTCCTCTACTGATTATTACCACTATCCATTTTTGTTGTTAATCCCTTTGATGTAGGGGTTGGACGGGTGGGTAATGAGTTGGACCAGGGTACCCATCTCAATACCCTGACCCATTATGATCGTGTGACGGCCTACCTTTAGAATACAGCACCACAAACTTTAAAAATATGTCATAATACCCTTTTACGTAATTGTATGTGATTTGTTCACATAAGCCCAATGATGTTGAGAGTTTCCAGTAGTTGTATACCTTTGGACGCGCAATTTTTTGCAAGCACCAGTTTGAAATATTTTTCTTTTTTCACTGATAGCTCATATTTATTTGTATTACGGGGTGCTGAGGTGTTATATTTTGTACCTTTTAAATTTAGTGAGAATGCGTTACACCTGTCTATATATATTCTATTATTTGCAATTTGGGTCGATGTAATTAATTAAATAAATTATGTAAATATATTTTATATTTCGGTTTCTATTAGGTCTAAATGATTTACCAATGTGAACTGACATACATATATTTATATTTTTTTCATTCAGTAATTTGCTCCATTACACAGAAAAGCTTTTTATTAGTATTTTATTTTTCAAAGGGGTAACAGGAGTGGAAATAACCCATTGCCTGACGTCCAAGTCCAGTGTTTTTTTCTGTTGGGCAAGCAAATTTGTATTTCACACTGTACCGGTGTCCAGTTGACTTTCCAAGGTTAATTATGTTGTTTATTTAAAAAATCAACAAGAAAACGACCGGTATAGTAGAAAAATTATCAGGGCAAGTGATTTTACACCTGCCACTGTACCGGAGTACAGTAGCAATTTTAAAGGTCACATGCAACCAAAAAATCAAACATAATTAAACACAGTAATCACTTATTCATGACATATAATATACATTGTTGGTTATGAAAAAACATATAAACAAAATTATAAGCGTACAAACGCAAATCAAAAGTGCAATATTGTGTACTTGGGTTTACTTCCCAAGAAACAAAGCAGCCGGGATACCGAACCCAGTCAGATTGGGTGGGTGTGCACTCAGTGTAACGGCTGGTTCATCTGCAGATTCCCTCACGGCTCATTGTGTGTGTATATACAGTAGAACACGGATATAACAAACTCCAAGGGACCACGAAATTTAGTTCGCTATATCCGGTGTTCGTTATTCACATTTGACCGCCATCTTGGATTGTAGAGATGTAGAGACACCTATATGCTGAGGCTACAAATGTTTTTTCTTGTATATGTACATTGACATAACATTAAAATTCTGAATTTATCATTCACAGACATTAGCTAGAACATGTTTAACAAGAACATATTTAACAATCACAACAATCTCAAAAATACATGTATATAACTTAATTACGTTTAACAAAGTACACAATTTTGCTCTGCACACCACGTCTTGCAGACTTCATTTTGCGGACTGCATCACAGACACGTTAATGAGTTCGCTAATCACGTCGATAGTTGGGCTTGGGGGTAGTAAATCAGTTCGCTATAGCCGTTAATTCGCTACTCACGAGTTTGTTATTCGCGTATAATTTTAATGATATTATAAAGGACTGTTGACGGGACTTTTAAATTTGTTCGCTATATCCGTTTGTACGCTATATCCGTGTTCGCTATATCCGTGTTCTACTGTATATAGAGATGTTGGCTTTTGTAAATACATGCTCATTTTTTGTGTATAACATTTGGCAATCAACAGACATCATAACATGTCATGTGTACAAGTATCACACCTGCCTGTCTGTGTAATTACATAATGTGACAGAGACCAATTTTGGGCCATAAATCAATGCGTTTTGTTTATGGTGTATAGTCTGATAGGTGTTAAGTTCAAATTGGTCAGTGATCGAAAAGTTGTGTATTGAATATTGTCATTAGCAGACAGGCAGGCAGACACATAG